TCGTGCCCTCTGCCCTGCGGAAGCTCTCAGTTGCAAGGGCAGCGGGCAGGCTGCGGTGCTGCGGGGAAATCTTGGCATTTTCATGTTTTGTGATGGAATTCTGAATAATCCTACAGCATTCTCTGTAGAGATGGCCCAGAATGGGGCATCTCAGCTCCTGCTTCAGTGCAGGGGTAACTGTTGAAAAACAGAAGTGTTTATCTGAAGGGAAATACTTGAGATAAAGCTGTGTAGCATTCACTCTTTCTCAAGTTGTAAACTGGGGTCTAGCAATGTTGTCTCGGTAGGTTGAGAAGCTTTTCTCATTCCTTCTTCCGCTCCTGCTCTCTTTTGTCTGAACCCTTCTGACAGGCCAGCCTTCCACCCCTTTCTGTTTTAATCTTGACTCCCCCTCTAGTAACTTATTCATGAGAAGAATTCTTTGTCTTCTTGTTTCCCCTGCCACATAAAACACCTGCAGTTGCTACCTTCTAATCATTTTGTGGCACTAAGGCGTTTGGAGAATGAAAGGCAAGGAAAAATTGCTTGAAAATCACTATCTGATCTGTATGATTGCGACATTATTTTGGTTACTGTGTTATAACCCCAGTTTAGCTACCATCTTTCACTGACCAAATGAGTGGTCATCCAGACCCTGCAAAGTCGGGTGTTTGGTCCTGTAGAAGAAGAAAATAAAAAATCATATTACAAAAAAGTTGAGAAGGGAGAGGAATTTATTAGCAATATCTTCCCTCTCTGTAAGCCAAGCAGTGGGAAAGTGTCATCATTTGCTTGAGCAACTGTGCACATAGTGGCATTTTCAGAACAATTATTGAGAGCTCAAGGCACAGGGAGTTTTCCGGCAGCTCAATTCTGAGTCTGACAGCCAGCTTCTTTTGAAATGGTCTAAAGGAAAATGCCGCAGCACTGGCTTCAAACTGAGCACGTATGAACAATGCAAATAAGTGCTTTTAGCCAGGGAGCTCAGCAGCTACGGAACGGGGTACCCGCACAGCACCCTGTTACTGTGGAAGATGCAGTTTCTTCAGTTAAGGGCGCTGAATGTAAACAAATTAGGTCCAGAAAAAAAGAAAGGTTAGCACTAGTTGCCACCCTTGTCAGTGATGTCAGCAAACAATGTACAGACTAGACAGACAAATAGACTAAATTATATTATTATATCCCTGATGTGGTCTCCCTGGAGGCAGCAGAGACAGCGCTTGTGCAAATGCAGGGTTTGTGATACTTGGGTGCTTGTTCAGTATGTGTGCATAGCCCCTCTCACTGTCAATATATATTCACTTTTCTTGAGATAACCTTATCTCTGTTATTGCTGTAAAATGAATTCAGCTCCTGTTCACTTGTGCCATGTGAAATGGGAGAAATCAAGATATCTGTCACAGTATTTTAGCCACGTTGTTTACTAAGGCCATCAGCCTTGGTTTTTTTTTTTTGTAATTATTATTTTCTCTGACTGACATTGTAGCAGTGTTTAAGATGAAACTGGAACTTTGGTCACTGTCTCATTCTGCTTATCTGTGTGTTAAGGACACTTCTAAGGCAGATCAGAACTGACGCGGGGAGAGGGGGACAGAGAAATTTGACACTTCCACTAATATTAAAGGAAGAAGCAATAGAATATATATTTGTGTATATATATATTTGGGGATAATGTTCTTTGAGGGGTTGCAGGAACGATGTGGCATGGGATTAGGATTTAAAATCATGCTTTAAGACTGGAGGAAAGGTCAATAGTGCAATCAAGTTCAATAAGTGCAAAGCTCTATACATAAGAATATCTGGGAGACAATACGCAACATGGGAAACATCTAACTGGCGACAGAATGGCAGAAAAGGAAGATGGATCTGTCGTCTATTGTTGTCTGAGTGAATGGACAATTTGAGGTGATTACAAAGACAGACAAATTTCATTCTAGGAGGTATTAAAGACTGTCATAAATCAAATACAGGAAGTGGTTCAGTTACTTATTAACAGTGGAGACATAGAATCATAAAATAATTTCAGCTGGAAGGGACCTTTGCAGATCTCTAGTCCAGGCCACTACTGAAAGCAGAGCTATTTTCAAGATTCAGTCAGGTTGCTCAAGGTCTTGTTCAGTTGAGTTTTGAGCATCTTCAAGGTTGGAGATTCCACAGCCTCACTGAGAGACATGTTCCAGTGTTTGACTGCCATCACTATGAAGAATTGTTTCCTCATATTTAACAGAAATTTCCTTTACTGCAATTTGTGACAGTTGCTTCTTGTGCATCTCTTTTTTTTCACCCACTCTCACAGTTGCAAGAAGTGTTTTACTTCAGTAGCAGCTCAGCGCTCCATACCTAGCACTGTGTAAGCAAGCAGCTTATCTCCAGTTAGTATGTCCACTGCAAACACGTAATTTTGAATAATCTTACTTACTCTGCTCTTTTAGAACAATGCAGTACAGTAAGAAATAATGGACTCAAGGGATTATATTTGACAGTCCAGTGAGAAACAGTATATTTTTACTATTCACTGAAAGTTTCAGTAAAGCACTTTTCTAGTATATTTATCAAATAATCCCTTTCATTTTGAAGCATGGATAACAGAATCAAGTATGTTTGCCTCCCAAGGCCAGCACTTCTGAAAAAAAATCTGGGATACTTTCTGTAAACTCTAGTGTTTTGGCAAATGTTAATGGGCGGTGCTAGAAAGATCATATCATTCGCTGTAGTCATCTTGTTTTCACAGAGCTTTTGCTTTGGCTCTCGTTCAGAATTTTGTCATATTAAATAGTGACTTTATATAGAGAATGATTAAATTATCTCCTGTGTAAGCAAGCAGCCTATATCCAGTCCAGCATGCCCCCTGCAAACACTTATTTTTGATTACCCTTGCTATGATCTTTTAGGAGAATGCAGTACAGCAAGGAATAATGGTCCCAGTAGGTTTCCACAAGACTGCCATTAATGCCATAAAAAAGAGATCAGATCAAGTCATTTATGGGATGGAAAGCTGAAGGATTTTTGGCTAGCTTTCTTCAGCATAGTTGCTTTTTAGTAGTGAAAGCAGTCATCATGGTGGGCAAATTTTTCTCTTCAGCTGTCTTAGGTTAAGGTTCTACCATGCCCCCGTGGTTTGCATGGATTCTTATTTTCAGTTATTGGAAAAAAGTATTTACGTAAGAGAAAAAATCCAAATCTTGCAACATGGTTTAAAACAGTGCTCTCTTCTAAGGGGTTGTTCCCTCAGCTGAAAGTCTCAAGCAAGAGGTGCTCTACTCTCTGTTTTTCTAGCCCTTAGGTATGAAAAACGTTGGCTCTGCTGGCTTTAAGAGGACAGAAAGTGTCTTATGGAACTGAGAACAAATATAAAGGCATCTAAATCTGACCCATACAAAATGAAGCTTGACCTGCTAAGCAGTAGCTTTTTCTACAAAATCTGCTGTATGTGTTTGTTTCCTGTCAACTTCAGATGCAGTAAATATAGTAATCCAAAACGACAGAAGCCAAATCATTACATTCTGGTAATTATGCAGAAGAGATGGTTACATATCTAAGGATGCTCAATTGAAAAAACAATTTGTTTTTCTCTAGTACTGCTAGCAAAGTTATCGATGAAGTTAGGAGGACCCGGAGGATTTCTGCTTTTTAAATGACAAATATGAGCACATGCTAACTGCTTTGTTCCATGGTAGGGATCAGATTAACAAGTGATTTATAGAGATTCTTATTTTTATGGATAACAAGAAAGAATAATGTCGTCTATTGAATTTCCAACACAAATTTCCAATCACGCAGTTCTGTACAAGTTTTTGTTGGTGTTGTTTTAATGATTCATTTTATTAGAAGATTTTGCCATCAAGTTCAACTGCCCTTTTGTGAAATCAGCAAATTCGAGATATCTAATTTTGAAGTGAAGGTAATAAAACTAATAGAATGACGGCAGCATTGAAATTGCTACAGAGGATGTCTTAGTTTAAAAAAAAAAAAAAAAGGAAAGAAAAAGGCACCCTGAAGGTAATTTAAACAAGCATCACAAAAGAAAGATAGAAGAATTCAGTAGGGATATATGGGTAGTATTTAAACAGTGATGTAAAACAAAGAGTCTACCTTTGAAATAGTAGGATAAAGGAGAGAGGCAAAACCCTGGATCACGTTCTTGTAGAGAGTGCCTTTCCTATAGTGAATAAAGCCATGCAAGATCAGTAGCAGAAAAGGACCTGAAAAACAACAGGTTGTTTTTGGCAACTTAAAGCAAATGCGCACACCTTTGCTCGTGTACCTTGCTTGTCTCCCAGTTTCTATCAAGTAGATGAGATGAGCCAAAATTGCTGCTAAAATCAGCAGCTTCTGTACAGCTGAACAGATAGCATAAACTGAGCTTGCAGCTCAGGATCCTTTTTATTATTCTACCTGGCAAGGAACTTTCCTAAAAGCAGCACTCTTTCTTTGAGCAGTTAAAGGGTAATTGTTCATAGTGAAATATAGACTTGCATCTAAACATACGCTAAGAGGGAGGAGTGTGCTCAGGTGAACCCAAAAATGTGACTAGTCGTTAAAACGGATCACCTTATCTTAGGAGAGAGATGATTCTGTTAATTCTTAGGAACATAATAGATCTTGAAGTTATCTTAAGTATAGGCCAGAAATGAAACTACACTTTCAATTATTCATGCTTCTCAGTTTTGAGATGTCTTGGCCTAGCAGGAGATATGAATTTAATATCTAATGTGGTCTGTACTGCTTTACATAATCATGATGGGGAAGAAAGATGGCTACATTTTTGGTTTGACTTGGAGTACAAACTGGAGTATGTTCATTCTGACTGTGCTCCACTGACACAATGGAATGACACCAAAAATGCACTGGATTCATTATTTTAATACCTGCCACCCAAACTCATCCACACCAGACTGAAGCAAAACAACAGAACTGGCTTATATGTAATTTGTTTTTCACTCATATATAGAGTCAGTGTCGAGTTATGGTAAGCAACAGGAGAGCTGTAAATGGTCTCTTTGCTGTTTAATGTCTTGCAGATTTTACCAGTTCAGCAAGATGAAAACAAATAAAATCCAGCAAGCAAACCTGGAAACAAGTTAGCACAGATTACTGCAGTATACCTAATTCGTTCTATACGTAAAGCAGAGGAGTACTTAAAGACACAAAGGTAAGGCAACCTTTATAATATTTCTACTTGATTTCAGCCATGGGCTGGTGAACTCGAGACTACTCTCTGCCTGATACTAAAGGCAGTAGTAGCTTTTAGATTTCTTTTTAAGATTATGAAGTGAGATGGATGGACAGCATAGGCGGAAGGTACTTTTTTATCCAAACGTCAAAACTATACTTCTTAAACATTACCTTCTTCTGAAGGGTGAAACTAAACTGCCTTGGTTTGATAACGAGGAGCCTTATCAATGAGTATCACTAATTATTTTTTCAGAAAATCAATCTATCTCTTTCTTCAGCCCAGTTTCTTCACCTCATGAATGAGAATGTTGTGAGAGAGTCAAAAGCCTCACTGAAGACAACCACTGCTTTTCCTTACCCACACAGCCACTGATTTCACCACAGAAGACAATCAGGCTGGTCAAGCCCTTGGTCAATACAGGTTGATTGTTCCAGATTACCTTCTTGTCCTTCCCACATTCAGAAATGGATTACAGAAGAATATGCTCCATGAACTTTCCAGTGACTGAGGTAAGGCTTACTAAACTGTGCCTCCTTTTGCCTTTCTTAAAGATGAGTTTTAAGTTAGCCTTTTTTTCCAGTCATCAGGGAGCTCTTCTGAGATTGCTACAGCAGGTTATACAAAATTGCTACAATTTTGTATAACCTTGCAATCATGTCAACAACCTTCACCGTCTTTTAGTGCTCTCAACTTTGAACACGCCCAGCCTCTCAATAACCCCTAACCTGTTATTCTCCCACTATTTGCTGTCCCCTCTTTTCAAACGATGCTGATTTGTGCAGCAGTCTGGAGTCAGGCATCACCTAGGAAGGCTGAGGCAAAGAAGACATTGAATATTTTGGGCTTTTCTGTATCCATTTTATGCTTTATGGCACTCATTATTATTTATTTTTGGCTCCAGCTGGGATTTAGCCCTCCTGATTGAGGCAGAAACGTGCCGCAAGACTTTTATACTCTTACATCATGCTTGTCTTTGTTTCCATTTCCAAAGATTTAGACTGGGCTCATTAAGAACTGTTTTCACAAAATCACAGCCACAGAAAAGTTCTTCTGGTAAAGCAAAAGAAGCCTGAGTAGTGAAATAAAATTTAAAAGGTTCTTGGAAGATATGTATTAAATAGACCTTCGATCGTATAGAGGATAAATTCCCAATACATGACAGCGAGAGGTGAAGATTTATTTGCCCTCCTGCAATCAGATGAAGTAATCAATTTTTGCTTCTCTATAAATAATGCTGCCACCAGAGACTAGTGCATATAGCCACATTGCAGTCATATATCCAGATTGCTTATATTTATTTATCCTCCATGTCTTTTCATAAATATACATACATATATCTAGGTATTTGGGAAATACCATTTCAAAGGTATAAATTCTAGGCACTGAGAAATATCGTTATTATTGTCAGGTAGAATTTCACAATGAGTGTATTTTTGCATAAGTTATCAAGTCAGTAAAGTGTTAATCCTGGGTAAGACCTCTAAAGCATAATTTAGGGTCTGTAAATGCTATCCTTGATAGTATTTGCAGGAATAGGAACTTTTTAGTTATTTAATTTTGGAATCAAAGTTTTATAAGCTAAAAACAATTATATAAATAATCATCAAATCTCTGAAACCAGAAGCAAACAAAAACTACAGCATGAGTCTGGCTTCCCAACACACAACAGGGAATTAGTGGTTGCTAGCTTCAGCATTTTGCAGTAGCAAATGACCCAGTGTTGCACGCTTTGCCACATAGCTAGTAATAATGAATAGCGTACACTAATTTCTTAGCAAAACTGTTTCTCTAAAACCTGCATATTTCTGCAAATAAAGTTGTGCTAGTCTGTACATAACTTAAGGAGGAAAAATTATAGCATCAGTGAAACAGAAAAAAGCCCAAAACCTAAAAGGCACCTCATCTTGAATCCAAATAAGTCAACAGGTGTAGTTAGAATGCAGCATGCTGCTTTTTTCCATTTCCACATTAATTATCTTTTTCTTATCTAAAGCACCTCTCATTCCAAACAGGTAGCTCCAGTGACCTTGACAGCAAATGATGTTCTGTCCAAGAAACCATCCTTCCTGCCATAGATGAATAAAAATAGCACAGGTTGAATCCATTTACTATCAGGGGGAATCTTTTCCTTCCTCCAGCTAGTGGGGCATTACTGCTCATGAAGAGTGCAATGACACTAAGAGCCTCAGAGTAAATGCTTCTGTTTACTCATGGAGCAAGCACTGTACTTTGAATACCGGATGGTCTTCTTTTAATAGATCAGTTCCCCCTTTCCTACCCTCTCCTTGACACTGCAAAGACTAGCATCAAGGATGATAGTTTTTATAACACAAAGCTTCTCAGTTTGTTAGACTTATCCTAAAAATATTATTCTTCTCAGCAGCCTCAGACATGCCAGAAACTACCTGGAATTTATGGGCTACAACAGAAAGACATTTTGCATTGTGCCTCTTAAGATGGCTTGGTAGTTTTGTTGTGCAAAATGTAAGAATGGGCTGCTAGCATAAAATAGATCCCAGAGACGTTTGCAACACTGAGCACAGGGATAACCTTTTAGAGAATACAATATATGTTGATCCTACTCGTTCAGTATCACGCTAGAGCATTCTCCTGACGCTAGTACAAGACTTCCCCGATTGTTGCAGGGCCAAAAGATAGTCTAGACTAGTGCGTGAGTAAAGGCTGAGGATCTTTTGTCCTCTCTAATCCTTTGCGCTATGTACAAGATGATCAGGGTGATATAGACCTTTGCTCTTGCACTCCTTATGTTATTTATGAGCGTATATTTTCTTCTGAAAGTTTCAGAATACAAGCCAAGTTCTTTGGTGGCTCAAACTTTTTCCCGGTATTATATCATTTTTAAATATAGTTACAGAAACTGAGTGATTCAGGAGTGCACAAAATCTAATTTGGCCCATTCTTTCATGCACGATTTTCCTTACATAAGCTTCCATTTGAAATTCTACAATTGCCTCTTCTTTACATTTTTCTGATCTTCATCTACAGAAATGGATTATTTACTACAAGTTCTTTTACATGATGGAAATTTAGAATGACAGTGATATTTCTTCTGATTTGCTGTGAGACATACTTCAAAGTTTATCAAGAGAGAGTACTTGCTTAATAAGTCAGAAATGTGAGGAAACAAATTTAAGTTCAACAAGGTGTCATAAATACAAGACATATAGACACATACAGAGCTATTAGAAATCGAGCTCCAATTAAGTAGCTGTTTTGAAATATCACAAGAAGGTAATTTACCTGTTTTGGCTCCCTCTTTGAAACTGAAATATATGTTCATGTGCCCAATTTGCAGGCTTGAACAAGAACCCAAACATCATCAGCTCTTTCTAGACTTAGTCATTGGGGCGGAAGAGCAACTGGTTTGAGATTCCATTCAAATCAGGCCTTGTTTAATTGGATATTCGTTTGTTCTGTACCAAGAGGTAATAACAGAGTTACTCTGTCACAGTAAATGATATACGAAAGGTTTCACACAGGGCTTTTGTCATCATCCTCTTTCCCAGTAGTCTGTGGTTTGTTAAGACAGCTTAGAGAAAGATCTTATAAATGGGGAAAATAACAGAAAATGGTCATATAACAGAAGGCTGCAGAAGCTTTCAGTATCACGAAATGGATTTTATGATGTGAGTGCTTGCTATGAATTTCCTTGAGTCACAATGCTTTTGTTTGAACAGGACAAGTACTTCAACTGGTCTTATTATAGCACGATCTTTTGTTTCACGGTTATCTCTGTATTATGTACTTAAGGCTTTAATTATGCACAGAATTATTAGAAATGCTTGAATTATTTCTTCAAAGAAGTTAAGCAAAAATATTGGGGATTGAATTAAAAGGCAGATTTTGTTTAGGTGGAAAAAAGATTGTTTTATTAACAACAGATAATGCGTATCAGGAAACTTTTTCTGGAACTGAATATTAATAATACAGATCTTTCTCTTTTGGGAAGAAAGAGAATATTAGCTGGTACACATTCACCAGCCAGTCGTACCATTGCTTGGGATTTATTGGTTTTCTGGTGACTTCAAAAGGTTCAGTCAGGGATCCTGGGTACTGTCCAGACAAACCCGTGGCTGCCTCAAACTTCTGCTTTAAGACAGGAGACAGCAGAGGATAACCAGGAGAGGAAAATCAGCATAATAGGCATTGAGTTGAACACAACAGCAGCAACTGTATTAGGTCGATTGGATGTTTTTTAAAGGCAAGGTAGAATTTTAAGTAAATATTTGAGGATATCCCATTGCATAAATTTACAATGAATCCTTCTTGTTCATGAGGGACAAAAGAAAGGAGAACACCAGGCTACAGAGGTGAACAATGAGGTTTGTGGCACAGCTGAAGGTGAACAATTGGTGCATCCAAAGTAGGAGCTTATAACTTGAGCACATAAGCTGAGAATAAGGTAGGAATAGATTAGGAAAGGTTTTGGAGAATGTGGGTCCAATGCCGTTAAGAGAAGCAGTAGAGGGAACAATGTGGTAAACGTTGCAAGTCAGAAAAGGGTCTTAGAAGCAGTTTTTGACTGATTAGATTAAAAACTATTAGAGCACAGATTTGCTGAAGGAAGCAAGTAGTATGAGAGGCTGAAGCACCAGTTCTCATTGCTTAAACAAGGCAAGGTAATTCGTGCTTTAGCATGTAGAGACAGAATCTAAATTAAACTAGTGTTGAAAAGCAAGGAAATCAGGCAAAGCAGACGCCTATTACTGCTAATGTTTGCCCTTTCAGTTGAGTCATAAGTATAATGACATGCGTGTATCTTTAAAATGGTAAAAAGCATAATTGATTTGGGTTTATATAAAGCAGGTCATAATAGCATCCACAGTCTGATTACAAGAGACTTGTTATGACAGGGTTTTGCACATACCACCTCTGCAGATCCATTCAAGTCAGTGGTGCAGCTGGGTGACAGAATCTGGTCTACTTCTTTTAACTTAAGAAAAATGCAGCAAAAATTTGAAAAGACTTCTAGCTTCCTTGAAAGCATTCTGTCTTCCTTAATGGATTGTGTATTATGAAAGTACAGGCAGACCTTTGTACATATGATGAAAGCCATTTTTCTTATTAATAAGATTTTTTTTCCTGAAATTTGATTTCTGGACTTTATTTTCCTCATTCCTTTGGACAGGAGTGGGGTGATTATTTCCATCTCATTAACATTTTTGTATATGTTTTTTAGCCAATGCAGGCTTACTTATGTCTAAAACACACCTGGAGATAACAGAATCTACAGGAAAATCATTTTTGAGGTAATAAGACAACCTTGTTTGATTAACTGAGGTGATGGTCTTCTAAAGATTCTGGATCCCCACTTGCAAATGAAGTAACATGTAAAGGCCTCATTTACAGGCATGAAAACTCATAGAAGGAAGATTTTTTAGGGCTTTATCCTGTCTTTGAAGAAATTCCTTGAAGCAAATCTAACATTGACCTGAATATAGCAATGGTTTAGATACAGGCCTCAAGTATCTTTAAATGCAGTGGTAGC